AAGAGTTGGCAGAGGTGGTGCTTGGTCACAGGCCATTTTCCCTCTTGCCAGCTCCAGGCAGGGCTGGCAGCTCCGTTCAGTGCCTGCCAACCTGCCGGACCCCACCACTGTCTCCTTCCTAGTGAGCTTCCTCACAGTTCGAAAGGAGAGCTGAGCTGATGGGACTCAAGCCTGGCACCCCACTGGGGTCCCCAGACCCACCCCCCCACGTCCCACACTCACACGGGCAGGCGGGAGAAGGAGCCGTTGCGGAGGAGCAGGTAACCGGAGGGGAAGGTGGTGACACCGAACTTTTCCACAAGCTCCTCCTCGCTGCTCAGCACCCTCCTCACTGCCACGTTCTCGTACTGCAGCATGTCCAGCGCCACCTGCAAGCCCAGCAGCCCCAGGGTCAGGCAGGGGGTGACAGAACCCCCAGCCCCACCGGGGATGCAGCAGGGCTATGTAGCACCCTGTAAAGCACTTCATGCCTGCAAAGCGGCATGCAAGCCAACCAGTGAGGCTGCTGGGAGAGGACTTCCCTGCCAAAGGCACCCCGGAATTATCTGGCACCAGGGACACAGGCTTCAAGAGAAATGGGGGATAAATACAGCTGCACCCACCTCTCTGCCCACAAAGGAGTCACTTTTCTCGAAGATCAGTGCCAGGTACTGGTCCTTGTTCCTCTGGAAGTAGCTGCGAATCTCCTCTGCACTGCAAGAGGGCAGAAGATAGCAGCGGGTGCTGGATGATCTGCCCCCCCGCCCGAAAGAAGCTCGGCCCTCGTCCCCGGGGATTCAGCAGAGGATGCCTGTGTGGGTTCAGCCCCACCAAGCGGGCAATTCCTCCCTGCTGAAGTTTCCAGCCCAGTTTTCTGCTCCGGTTCACAGACTTTGAGAAAACCCGCTGGGGTCAGCCAAGGAGGCAGAAAACAAAGCACAGGCAGGGCAGGAGGGAGCTGCATGCTCAGCCAGGGGAAAAAAAACAGCAATGAACTTGAACCAGGGCTATTGTATTTTTGGCTAGGACACGGAGGCACCAGAGACCTGAAGCATGGGCCTGGTTTGACCATCACTTTGGGAAAGCCAAATGCTCCGCCCTGGGACAGTGGAGCAACTGCCTATGTCTGGTAAAGACAACTCAGATCCCAACAAATTTGTACCGAACCAAGAAAACCCTTTCTCAGGGCAGGAAAAAGCTGCTAACGGCAGTAGCCTCACTCAGCATGGCACGGCACTGCCATGTCCCCAGCCCAGGCACCGCTTGCTCAAATTAAGGCTGATAAGCAGGTTTGTTAGGAGATGCAACAACACGGCCCGTCTCATCCGGGCCACGTAAATGGCTCTAGCCTGGCCAGGTCATGTGCGTCTCCCTGGGACGTGGGTGTTGCAGTGGCTGCTCCATGCTCATTTTTGGCTCAGGATTTCCCCAGAAACCTGCTCTTCATGGGATGGAGGCTGCCAGAGCCACCCCCCCATCATGCCACCCCTACCTTGCTGGCTCCAGTGGAGGACAGGCGGGCGGCCAAGCGTCCTGGCTCTGCTCGAGGTTCGTGATGATGGCATGGCGCAGGTCCTCGATGGTGGCACTGGGATCTGCAGGGGGACAGGATGCCAAGGGGTCAGTCCTGGGGAAGCTGGTCGCATGGGCTGAGCAGAGGGGAGCTGCTCTGAGCTGCCCCCATGGGCTCCCCAAGGTCCCAGTGCATGCGGGGTGAGGGCAGCAGGGCTGTTTACACCTGGGGTAAAAAAAGTCTGTGGTTCTGAATACTCACTGGTAATCCTTATCCCATCCTCTGCATTCTTGCTAAAAGCTCTGAAGAACTGAAAGGGAAAAAAAAAAATCCACAAGGGGAAACTGGAGTGAGAGTGTTGGGAGACAGGGAGGCAGTGCAGCCCAGCAGGTAGAGGCTCCCCCTAGACCTCAGCTTCTCCCCAACGTTACAGCACACCGACCAACACCAGCCACTGCAGAAGGAGCTCCCAGCCACAGCCCCGTCTTGCAGGGCGTGCCCAGAGGGGAGGGATGCAGGCATGGGCTGGGAACCATGGCCAGGCACAGGCTGAGCACTGGCAGGCAGCAGGGCAGGCGTCTCCAGGGGTCCCAGGGAGGCAGCCAGGACCTTCCCAGTCCTGCAAACTGCTGTCTCCCTGCTCCAGAGCTCTCACAAAAATGGGAGAAGGGGATTTTTTCCCCACTCCTGGCCTCCCACAGGGGCTCCAGTGCCCACGGTAGAGCCAGAGCCGTAAAACTGGGTCATGTCAGACAGGTGTTTGCTTTGCAGGCTGGGCTGGGAGCGCAGGCTGTTTACAAAAGGTGTTTGGCAGGGACAGGGGATGCGAAACAAGTAACTTCGTGGCGCTGCCACATCAGCACACCTCCCTGCCCTGGGAGATGTTTCAGTCAATGTCCCACGGGCGGTGGGTGCTCAGTGAGACCCCAGGGCAGGGCTGGGGCACAAGCCAACCTGCCTGGCAAACCCCCAGATCTGACCCCACCTTGGGCTGTGCATGTTAGCCGGGACTGAGGGCACGTCTGACAAAACCCTTATTGCCCCCCGTTCCGTCTCAAGGTGATCCTGGCTTTCACTGCCTGCACCTGGAGTGCTTTGGCTTTATTACTTGTATTTGGAGTGAGGCTCTGTTTGCAGTGGGAAACGCTGTGAAATGGCAGTATTGACACAGCTAAGGGGCCGGGCACGGGCCCAGGAGGAGGGACGGCACCTCGCCAGCCACCGCAGGAGGCTCCCAGGAGAGAGCTCTGTGCAGCCTCCCACAGCATCCCTGCGCCACCCTCCCTGCACCTGCACCTGCTCTCTGCCCTCCAGCAGCCTTTCCCAGGCATTTCCAATTCCGATTTCGGACTCTCCCCCATCTTAGAAGAGATCCGGCCTCTATGTTTCACCGCGAAGCAGCGTTTTGGTTTTCCCCCTCCTTGTTGCTACATCACCCAGCAGTTGCACTGGCTGCAGCCTGGCCACAGCTATATTTTAGGGAAGGGCAAAACAGCTCCAGCCTGCAAAACCCCAAAGGGAATATTTTGGTGCAATAGCGCTGTTGGTCTGATTGAGCAAGAGAGGGACCAGCCAAAAAGCAAGGCACAGGGAAACCAGGGCACTGGCAAGTGCCTGGCGCATACAGCCTTTACCTTCAGTGTGGGGAAGCCGGTTATCCCAAAATCAGCGCACACTTGCTGGTTGGCCTCGTCAGCACAGTCGATGGCTGCCAGCATCACTGCAGGCCTCCACTCTGCGGGGACAGAGGATGCAGTCAGCACAGCTCAGCTCCTCTGCGACCCCGAAAACTGTGCCGCTCCCCACAACCGCTGCGGAGATGGCAGGGATCTCCCACTGTGCCAGTGGCACGGCTCCTCCCGGCCCCAAAATCATGGCTCACCCCTCGTGGCGAGACCAACCAATGGTTTCCAAGCCCCAAATGCCCAAAGCCACAGTCTGCGCTGGTGTTTGGCGCCCTACTTTTCAGGCAGCAGGAGCACGGGGAAAGCCACGCGAGGCGGCACCAGGCTTTGCATGCCCTGCCCTCGCTGGCGTTGGAGTTCAGGCGGCTTTGCCAGCGGCTGCCTGTCCGTCTGGTTCTGCCTGCCCAGCCTCTGCCCCAGCGGGAAGAGGCCGCTGGGAGAAGGGGACGGATGGCTAACCACGGCTGAGGGAGAGCAAGGAACACAGGCTCCAGCTCGTCTCACCCCAGACCAAGGACACGGTTGGTAACTGAGACGGAACAACCCAAAACCAGTAGCTGGGGCACTGCGGCAGCGCCTGCCCCGCTGCCAAGCATCCGCTCCCCCCTCTGCGGCTCTCCACCACCGCCTCCCTGGGGAGGACCAGCAGGTCCCTGGGGTAAAAGAGAGATAAAGGGGCACAGAGGCATTTCAAGCAGCGGGCTCTGAAAGCCAGCAGCAAAACGGAGATAAAAGTTCTGAAATGGCTTCTTTTTAGTGTAAAGGACACAAACCGGAGAACCCCCAGCCTCTCCTTTGAGCGGGATGGGGAGGGACGCAGTGCCAGCACACAGATGGAGCCCGTGCCACCCTACGTGGGAGCCTGCTGGAAATGGGGACCTGCTAGGACCACCCCGTGTCGCAGGTGACGGGGCAGACGAGCCACTTCCCACTGCCCTGGCACCAGTGGCACAGGAGGGCCAGCACCAAGCCCTGCTGCAGGGAGCCAGGCACGCTCCTGGACTCATTGGCACGTGGTACCCACAGGTCACCTGCGAAAATCCACCTGTGGGAATGGCAGCGAGGATGCCGAGCAGCACGGGGGTGGCTCCCCCGCCCTGCCTCTGTGGGCACCCCATCTGCAGTCCA